TTCCCTAGACATTGATTCTGCAAAAATGTAAAGGAATCGATTCAAAATCGATTAAATCGTTTTTTTTTACCCAGCCCTATTATTGATGTTCTGTAAAAGAGCATTACCGAATGTTGTTACTAACGAACATGCAGCCCTTTAGAAATCCATCTTTGCTCCTGAAAACAGAGGAAAACCCGCCCCCACAAGTGAAAAGAATGCAATCTATGGAGCTCAATCTGAGAAACAGAAAATTAAGAAAAAGAAATAAAAGAAATGAAATATGAATAAAAATATCAAGATAATAAATGAAAATATAAAATTTCATAACAGTTAAAAAAAAATGGAAAAAATATTAGAAAATAGCAGTTTCTTTAAAAAACACATTTTAATGCCATCAACAACACGGCAAAATCCTTTGTCATTTTTTCCATCGACAGGCTGCAGCCATGTCCCAAATTCCTTGTTTTCCAGCCATTTTTATTGAAATTTGCATTTTCCCCATTCTCTAGACTTTTCTCCACCTAAAGCTTCTTTTTGGAAGCTTTCAGGAAGCAGTTCCGTGCAAACGCACAAAGCCATTTATATCTGATATAATATATCTGACGTAATTGTTTTTATAAACTTTTTTTTAATACAGCATTTTTAATGCCACGATAATCATATTAAATGAATTTTAATGCCAATTAAGGCCTTCATTAAAAAAGTAATAATTTCATGACTTAGAATGTTTTTTAATGACCCGGGAAAACCTTGATTTAAATAACATGTTGTTTGTTTGCAACAATAATGGAACAAAATTCACTATGTATCCCTTGAATTATTATAGCAAAACGTGTACAAAAAAACAAAGAAAACTTCCCTCCAAGTTTTAATCCTGCACCATGCATGTTCATGCGTGTATCTGCAGTGGTAGTGACGGGTAATGAGTAACATGATTCCAGTAGTAATGGAGTCACTTGGTCTCCCAGTGAGATATTCCTGTGCTAGCTACCATTTCGAGACTAATTATTGCTGAAATGGAGTCAAAACAAAAAAGTGTTTGTGTGTGTCTGCCTGTAGGGGCGTGTGTGTGTGTGGTTGGGCCTGTTTGGTTTACAGTTTGGCCCGTCGTTGGGATTAGGCTCGGCACTGTCATGTGTGGAAACAGGAGCCAGTATTGGCGCTGTGGGAAGTTGCAGACCACAGTGTACCACCGCGTGATTACGCTCCAGCATCGGACACCCCGACTGCTCCAGCTTCCCCATCCAGAGCAGCTGCTCTCAATTTAAAACAAATTTTCATTCAAACAGGTCAGAGGAAGCGGAAATGATGGTTATTTGACAGACATCTTGATTTTTATTATACCTTAGTGTCAAAAATTCAAGAAAACTCAACCAGGGTAAAAAAAAAATTTGTAAAATTCATAAGCTTATTTAAAAATGTAAGATTAACAGTTTGAATTAGGTTCAGTTACAAAATGAAATGTATATGAGTGTTAAATATGATGGTTAAATTACATAAAACCTCTCCAGACTGATGGCAGTCAGGATGCGATAGATGTGGGATGTTCACAGGCTGCCCAACTGTGGCCCCAAACAATCGCACACATTCTCAGAAGGAGTTATTTTCCCACACCTCCACAAGCCAAGCTGTAAAGTATACAGTTTAATTCCTGGGCCTCTATGCTATAAACGGGCTGAGGATCCGGGTTTATTTTCTCTGCAGAGTTTGTCTTTCCTCATCAGAGAGACTCAAACATTGGAAGACAACAGCAGGCTGGGGAGGTGTCAAAGAGAGATGGAGGGAAACACTGAATGGGTAGAGAGAGCGAGGGACAGGAGGGAAGATGGAAAAAAAGGCACAAGAGTGAAAAAAGAAAGTGCAGGACAAAAGAAAAACCAACAAAATATCAGCTACATGGATGGATAAAGCCTTAAAGGGACAGCAGGTAAGAAAAGATAAGTTGGTGGACGCTTTGCCAAAACAAAGCATGTCAAAGAACAAACTTTACCATTTTTTGGGGAAGTAGTCCAATTTAAATGCCACTAAAACTAAAATAACAAAAGTAACTTTCAAGATCATTAAATCAGATATAAAAACAACCATAAATGTATGTTAATATAATGTATAACACATTATTATATTAAGGTAGGCTCAGTAATGATCTTAACAGCACAGTAGTTGCAGTGTTTGGTTGTGTGAAGGCTAACAGGGACATTCCCAAACCACTGGGACTACAGAGAGGAAGAAGATTCACTCCTGGAAAGGAAAACAGTCGCCAAACGTCCCAGGAGTGCAAAGTCCTATAATGTCAGCAAAGAAATCCACAAATAACCCTAAAAAAAAAACAAAAAACAAAAAAAGATCTCTATTGTTACACCAGTTTGCCTGTAAATGCAAAAGTTGGGGCTTGGGGCCCGACTGAGGGATTGCCTTTGAGTCAATGAGTCGATGCAATCAACTGGTTTTCCTTAGATAGAAACTTTGAATACATTTCACTGGATGATGTGGTTGAACTGTAAAGTGCCTTGAGATGACATGTGTTGTGAATTGGCGCTATAGAAATAAACTGAATTGAATTGACTGAAGTCACAGAGGGAGTGAAAAAACTCCACAGTGGCAAGGCTTCGACATTTGCCCTGGGCTCCTTAGGTCTCTGGGTGTCATTGGTCTGTCGTGGATGACATTCAGTCAGTGCGGATACCGGTGTGTGATTTGTTAAACATCGCCTGGATGTATGGAGCCATTTCGTTTACAACGCAAATGAAAGCACCGGAGGAAGGACGCCACCAAAGAATCTGCGGCTTCATAATGGCAGGGAAGAACACAGAGAATCTCAAGCGACATCTGAAGAGCCAACATGCTGCCATACTGAAGAAAGTAAGGAATGGGTGGGCCTGTAGTTGTGGGAACTGGTGTGTGTGTGCGCCTTCCCGTGCCTGTATCTAAAATTGATTTTCGTCATTTAGACTAAGACTAAAAGTAAATCGGGAAGGCAATGACTAAATATGACTAAGACTAAAATTCATTTTTATCATTTAGACTAAGACTAAAACTAAATTGGGAAGGCAACGACTAAATATGACTAAGACTAAAATAGATTTTTGTCATTTAGACTAAGACTAAAACTAAATTGGGAAGGCAACGACTAAATATGACTAATACTAAAATAGATTTTTGTCATTTAGACTAAGACTAAAACTAAATTGGGAAGGCAACGACTAAATATGACTAATACTAAAATAGATTTTTGACATTGTGACTAAGACTAAATTTAAAAAAGCTGAAGAACATAACACTGCAACAGTGGTAGGTCCACGTCTGAAGGATGGATTTTAATTAACTTACCTCACTTATTTAGAACTACTCATAATTACAAATGTGATCCAAAAATATATATTTTTTAAAGAATAACTCTGATAGGAGCCAGTTGTTGAAACTTCAACGATATAAACAGTTCTCTTTGGGACATGAGAAAAACATCCTTCCATTGCAGCAGCAAATGGAAGGATGATTATACATCATGATTTGAAGAATCATACAAAAGTGATGTTGCATTATAGGCCCGCCTCCCGCGCTCTGATTGGCTTGGTCTGATTAAGACCAAAGAGCATTGGGCCTTAACAGACTGACCTGCGGCATTTGTACATCAGCTTTTCTAAAATGAGCAGAGCAGATTTAGAGGTTGGAACCTCTGCATTAGATCCTCTGTCAATAGACTCACTCACTGCTTCTGTGTTTTGTTTAGGTTATAATCTTATCGTGGTGCTGGGATGTGTGATGTTGATACGGTGTTATCTGGGTAGGTGTACGGAGGAGATCAGGATGTAAATCAAAGTGCAGAAAAAGGTGATGGGGGTGTGAGGCTGCAGGAGAGAAACTGCTGAGACTTATCAAAACAGCTTCAACAGCCTTGCTCAATCACCAAGACTCCCAGAGGTCTAAACACTTCTACCAGTGTTTGTACTTATGTAAACAGTAACAAGTGGACTGTCAGGGGCCACTCTGGCGTTGTAACTGGCTCCACTATTCTGCAGGCCTTCCAAGGCGGTTCTGAAAGGCTGCCCACTTCTGCAGGAGCGCAAATGATGCAAGAATACATGGATGTTGATGGTAAAGAATAAAATTGAAACCCAAACAGCCAATCAGGGGTAAGGGCCTTATCTAGTTTCAGTACTTTGCAAAAGTATTCATTTTCCTGGGATTTTTTCCCACATTTTCCAAATGTTAAAATTTGTCAAAACACATCGTGCTTTGATTTTAGGAAATCTGAGAACAAATGAGAAACAGTCACATGGCTAATAATGTCCAAGCTAATTTCCAGCCAAAAAGTCTGTTTGATCTTGTGCTGAGATTAATATATTAAGCAAGAGCAGGTTCTGTTAGATTATTAATCATCTTTTAAAGAAAATTGGAATCCAAAATTAGAGCAATAATCTGCCAGACGATTACACTTGGTAAGACTTCTTCTTTAAAGATTACACATCATTATTTTAAGAAGTTTTATTACCAGCACTGGAAGATTTTGGCCTCCTTTAATGGAGAAGAATCTTAAATCATGGATAATAGCATGTTGTGACAAACACCAATAACAGCACTGGGACTTGCTCAACAGCCGATACCACATCTTAACCTTTCAAACCGGTAGGTGGCAGTAGTGTTCTTTGACAAACATGGATGCCTCCAGTAAAGCACATTCAAATGAAAATTATTCTTAATTAAAACCCTGATCATTTATTGAACAGAAGTTTGTATTCTGAAAGTGACCGGACTTTTCCTTTAAAAAAATCAGTAAAGGAGCATCATAGATGGCAGTGGAGGTAAAACAGGTGAACTGGCCTAGTCAAAGTCTGAACCTAAAATGCTTTATGCTTTAAAACCTTACATTGTGAGAAAATGAAAACAATTTTACAAAGAAGTTTATCTAAAACTTCTCTTCAGTGATGGAAGACACTCATTGCTTTTTATGATGAACACATGGTGGCGGTTATTGCCGCAAGGCTGGCACCATTTCACACTAACTTTAAAAAATAAATCACTTTTTCTACGTAGGGCCTGGTTGGTTTGCACGGTTTTCTTCCTCATTGTATTAAGTGATTTGATAAAGTCGCCTTTGCTTGATCTTAAAATGGAAAAATTAAAGTGTGAAAGAACAAAAAAAGCAAAACAAAACTAATCTGTAAGGCGGTAAACACCTTTCAGTGCCATTTACTTCACTCTCCAGCTTTAATAAAACAGCTTATTTCTCCTTTTAAGGAAAAAGGTTTCTACTCAAACAAACCAAAGTTAAAAGGAATCAACGAGACTTCTCAGCCTATTAAGAGTTTCTGCTCTCACTAAAGAAGAAAAATAAGAAACACAAACACTGATGAGGTTTTTCCAGCTTTGAAAATTACCCCTAAACAAAACAAATTTTTCAAGACGGATCGCAAGTGTTAGCACTGACTCAACTACTCACAACAATAAAACACTGCTTACACTTACAGCCATAAATCAGCCGAGGAATTATGTACACAACAAAGGCTTAAATATCATTTGTTACTGCATGACTCATAACACATTTGCTGGAAGAAAAAAGACGGGAGCTGGCAGGGTGTAGTCTCCGGGCCTTTTGGTTAAGTAATGCAGCACAACATCAAAGGCGCAACACCGAAGCAGAGTGACCGGTAACGGTAAGGTGGGATGTTGTGAAGCAGACCCTGGGAGGCGGTAACAGAAGGAGCATGACAAACGAATGATTAAAGGAAATCATGAATCATTTTGTTTGGATGAATGAATCAAGTCCAGTTTTCTGATGCATTGAAGGTGCTGGAAAGTTTCTCCCCCACAAACAAGATGTTTGTTTCTGTTAAGATTGCAGATTGGTCTGACAACACTTACCTGGCGTAATAAAAACTAAATATGTGTGAAAACAAACCTCGGTGGGGGAGCCGAAGTCTGCGGAGGGGCTGCAGGTGCTGGTGTCGGGGAGAGCCGTGCCTGCGCTGCTGCGCACTGGGGAGGATGGAGCAACACCAGCAGGGGGGTCCGGGATGCTGGAGGTCTGACGCAGAACACCGTGTTTCTGGAGACGAGCCCATGTGCAGCTCCAGCTGAGAAAGAGCTCGTATAAAAGCTGCACCTAGAACAGAGATAAACACCGACAAGGTTCTCACTGGTCTGGAGCCAAACAGACGCAAGACAAAGTCTAAACTTTGGATTTTCAATCATTTCAGTTTTATTTCAGGTATTAAATGCGTGATGTGTTCTGGTAGAAGGCCTTTATGTGCCGACAAGAATGGCTTAGACCAAAATGGTGTTCTGTTTAAGACAAACCACAAGTAAGTAAGCCCGATCTTTGAAAGAGATGTATATATAAGCCAAGGTCTGACTCAAACAGCTGCACTGGGGAGTTGTCATAGTAATGCTTCAGGAGCCATTATCATGATTTAACTTGGCAGTTTTTTGCGTGTGACAAGAAACCCAGCTTAAGTTTTCCTGTTACTTTCTAAATACTAACTAGAAACTGACAATAATCCATCCTCATTTGTCTAAAGTTTGCAATTCAATACAGCTTTAGAACACAGTTCTATTCCTGTACGCTTCCCTGTATAAATAACAATAATAAAAGAAATCATTATCCATAACAATGAAGCTAACAAAGGAAAGCTAAGTTATGTCATCAAGTTCTCAAGAAGAAGCTTTGTACTTGTTGGAAAAACTGAAGAGTCGCTGTCAACTGTTCACAACTATTTATCATTTGCTCACATTAAAAGGAGGTTTTGGCTTTTTACAAAACAAAACTCCGGATAAAGAAGTGGAAAACATGACAGGACAGTGGTGGAATGTGATGAGATGCTTTCGGTTATTTGCGCATTCACACACAATTTCTGGGGAGGGGGAGCCAAAGAGAGAAACAGAGAAAAGCCAAATACTTTCAAAAGTGATCTAATTTTTTTTGTTTTTTTTTAAAGGCTTTTCTTCTACAGCCGGAGACTCCGCCCTGTAATGCCCACCAATAGGAATGCTCCCTTAAAGCTTTAAGCTGAACAGGCTCGAGCATAAATACACTAAACTAGATTTCTTACCTCAGATTGCTGGCTAATGCACGTGCACTACTGTGAGAGCACAAACTGCAAAGAGGCCTTCCACAAATGAACATAAATCAAATTAAATGCAGCACAATACATTACAGCTGGTCCATTTCAAACATGTCCAGGAAGAGCTGCTGATGTCGATCCAGTTGCTGTCCAAAGTCTGGGCCAACAGCTGTCTGCCATACCCCAACAAACAGCACTGCAGGCAGGGGAGGTAAAGCACCATGTTCCCCTCTAAGACTTTTTTTTTCTTTAGGGCCTGGAACTCCAACCAAGCACAACAAGGCCTACTGCACTCAGCAGCAGATGTGGAACAAGAGAATGAAGAATGTTGGACAGCGGAAAAAGGGAAAAGGAATGGGGTGTTCACATTGAGACTGAGACCTAATAAAGAACAACTGAGTTGCTGTGGGACCGAAGCTTTTCAAGCCCGGACTGCTAATCAATTTTGCAAGGAGATCTTGAGCAGAGCTAACATTTCTTTTTACCTTTTTTTTCTCATCGCTGGCATTAATGTCTCATTCCATCAAAGTACCTCTAATCTGCTTCATTCGTAAACTAAACAGCTAAAGATGGTTTATCGATCATAAAAACTAACAATCCTAAACAAGGCCCTGATAATAGCACCAGCAGGATGACAAGTTGAAAATTCTCACTGAACTCACGCCTTAATCTTTTATTTATTTTCCAGAATAAATAAATAGTTTAATAACAGTTACAAACGTACTCAAAAGCAAACTGAGCTCACAATAAAGAAGGTTGATCTGAATATTTGATGAACTGAGTTCTCTAAGGCCTAGATAAAAGTCTCGGTCCAATAAAACCGGTTTGATATTAACGACCAATATGTTTAAAAACGATGAATAACAACATTAACGCTGATACATCCTCTATTCCTGTGATGTTCTAATGAGCTACATGTAAAGTCTGTCCTTCCGGCAGCAACATGATACACGTTATCCTTCAATACTTTAGGATAATCAGTGCTGAAAGAAAATAAATAAATACATTTCAAATTCAAAGGCTGGCCATGGAAAGATTGGCAGCAGGCAATACAGAGAGATTGGATAGTAATCAATAAAACTCAATTCTATTCTATTCTAATAGATCGGAACCGATTCTAACCTTTCAGTTCTCCCAGAATGTTTTGGATTATTAATTTTTGATTATCAACTTTCGATTCCTTTCGATGCCCAGTACCCTGACTGGAAATATAAGCTGTATATTATCAATGCGCGCCACCTGTTCATGTTAATTCCTTTTTTTATAGGATTTTTTTAACAGTATTTTTTTCAACACAAAATAGCAAACCATTAGCAAGTAAAGGAAGAAAAAAAAATAAGAAAAGAAGTTGATAAATAAAGTACCTTTAACTGCGTTCTCGTGTGACTTGTTAGAAAACACTTGGGTGGAGGTTAAGATTAACATCTGGCTTTCGCTTGGCACATTATGTTTTAAGAGAAACGAGTGAAACACCCTGAACACAATAACTGCATGGTAAAGAAAGGCAGTGACAGCATCATGATGAGGGGAAGCTGTTTTCTGACCATGTGGGGGATCTCAGAAACAGTGGAATATGCAAAAAGCTAAAAACAGGAGAATTATAAAAGAAAACCTGTAAGAGGCTAAAACAGAGGTATGGAAGTCCATCAACTCACTTTATTCAGCCAAAGCAACAATGGGATGCTTTAGATTACAGCAGCATTCATGTGTTCAAGTGGTCTAGTCAAAGTCCTTACCTAAATACCTATTCCAGTTTACAGGCATCTCCATCCAATGTGAGTAAATCATCCTTTTTTAATCTATTGTAACTTAGACAGCAGTCATTAACACTCCTATTTCTAAACCTTTAAAATCCAATTAAAAACTTAAACCCTGAAAAATCCAAAGGTGTTCATTTTAGTGCTTTATCCCTTCATCTCAATCTCTAAAATTCCTTCTAATTGTGCAAAGAAATATTTTGTCACAAGCCATGGAAAAACTGATTTAATATAGTAAGAATGCAGCTCAGAGGACGGGAGTCCTTATAAGGTCAGATATCAGGGCACGTTCCTGTGCTTCAAATGCAGTTATGTCTCAAATGTGGTGTAATATTAATTAACTGACCCAGAGACGTGAAAGAGCAGACTGCAAGAGAAAGAGCAACGAGTGAAAACTAGTGAAACTGCACTTTGTTTGACAGCTACTGTTAAGCTACATCTCATCAGTCCAACATATTCATATAGATTCTGAAAGGCCAGAAAGAAAACTAGATAAAACCTTTAAGGCTCTGTGGGAAAATGAATCAGCAGTGGCTGGTAGTCAGGAATTAGGACTAAAAGGGCCCATGTCTTCAAAAATATCCAGAAACAGAGCATTGGAAAATACCTAAATATTGTGCAGAAAGCTTTGGAGCAGCCGACAGAGAAGTTATGAGGTTCCTAGTAAAATCCAGGCTATATTTACCATCTAGATTAAATCCCACATCAGAAAACCAGAGAATATGTCTGATCAGGAAAGGGTCAGGTCTGCTTATCTGGCTAACAACTGTTAGCTTTGTTAGCTCTGGCGTTAAAGGGGAGCTCAGACTGCTGTGCTCTGAGTTAACCAAATTAGACTTTTTCAAAGTAAAAAGTTGGTTTTGGACTTCCATTTAAACCTGCTTGACAATAGGGAGTTTGTTAGCTTGAGGTTCAAACAGAGTCGTCAATAGAAGACGCTCTCTACCAAACGTTACTTTGGTCCTCCTCCTGTATTGACATAATTACTGAAAGGGTGCCAACGTTAGCCAGCCTTGCTCTCCCCACTCCTGTCTCTGTTCCACCAATCAGGGTCTTAATTGTTGCTCCTGTTCCTCTCTCTGGGTTTTCTCGCTCTACAGCGGCTGTACCTCTGAAGTCATGTTGATTACAGATTGTGTGCAGGTGGTTCTCATGGGAGTTGTAGTGTGGAAATGTCAAAATTTCATTTTTGGCATTTGGGTTTGCTTGTGTTAATATCAAGCTCCTGTTACAAGCATCTATGTAAGAAACTATGCAACTGTATTTTTCCTCAGTGCTTACATTTAGATAGTAATTGAATCTAATAAAATTTTTTCCAAAGGCCTATAAAAATAAAAAATAAAAATCCATAAAACATGAATTTTTCGATTAAGGTAGAAAAGAACAAGCTTTTGACTCCAAATGGTTACATTTAATTCAAATAAAAATTAACTTTAATCTATTAGAAAAACAAAAAAAGACAAAAGGTAGACACTGCAACAGAGTAGATGAAAATAACACATTACAAATAAAACAGTAAAAAGAAAATGTTTTAATTTAGGGACCAGCACCCCTCGCAACCCCACTCGGGGATGGATGGATGGATGGATGGATGGATGGATGGATGGATGGATGGATGGATNAAACCAGAGAATATGTCTGATCAGGAAAGGGTCAGGTCTGCTTATCTGGCTAACAACTGTTAGCTTTGTTAGCTCTGGCGTTAAAGGGGAGCTCACACTGCTGTCGCGGCTCTGAGTTCAGCAAATTAGACTTTTTCAAAGTAAAAAGTTGGTTTTGGACTTCAATTAAAACTTGCTGGACAATAGGGAGTTTGAAAGTTACTTGTTTTTTTTTTTTTTTTGGGCTCGACGTTTAAACCAGATTCGCCAACAGAAGATGCTCTCTACCAAACATTACTTTGGTCCTCCTTCTGTATGGATGGATGGATGGATGGATGGATGATCTAATTATGTTGACAAGTTGATGGACTAACTCCACTGTCTGGCATTGCCAGGAAGTTTTGCATGTAATTTTCATACGTGCTAAAAACAGATGCAAAAAAGCTCCTGCAATCATATTAGCCTAAAAAAATCTCTTTGCACCTTAAACAAAGATCTGTTCTGCAGATTGGAATGAGTGCCTGTATTTTAATACTTTCAAACCCTAGAGCATTTCTTATATGTAGCCATTATATAGATTTTTTGGGAACTTTTCTTGTACCGGGAGAAAATTAATTTCACTTAAAAAGACTAGTTCTTTGATTTTTGTTTTTCTGGAAAAAAAACTGTTCCTTTCATCATTCTGGTCTAAATCATGTAGAGGTGTATCCTTTATCAACAACAGCATATTTAACTTTTAAAAAGTGCAAAATAACTGCATTGGAAAAGAATTTGAGCTTTGTTTATAATCTGATTATTTGATTGTTTCTAATTGTTTTCCTATAAAAGAAGTTAGATACACCACATTTTGAAAATGCATCATTTTCTCTGCTAACACTGTAGGGAAACGACCCAAACAAACTAACAAACAACACACTCTCATGTTTACAATTCTGTTAACCCTGAAAATGACCTGCAGTGAAGAGAGGAGACAGTTTATTTACTGGAGTCAGTCAGTTAAAGAAAACCATGCTAAGGAAAGAAACGCAATATGAAGGAGTTCTGAATGTATACTGCTGCAAAGTTTACAAAGTGATGATTTACACAAATAAACATGAAATTCCTATCTGTACTACTGACCTGAGAGTTGGAGCTCTTGACATGGACAGGCTGCAAGTCAACATGGAGGCAGACTACAAAGGAGGGCCTTTCCTCAGAGCTGCCCTGCAGTTTAGACGTGACGGCCAGAGTGGAAGTACATCCCATGGGCTCCAACAGGCTGAGGCTCTGCTGCTTTCCCAGCAAGGTGTATACGCTGAACTGACTCAGGCTGATGGTCCATGGGAAGGCGTCACCTGTCAGACACCAAAACAAGGCAAAGGTTTAAACATTAAAATCAACCAAAAAAGCAGTTTGTACTTCATAATCTAGCAAAATCATTATTTATTTAGTGGGATCAAAATCTCAATCTATCATTTAATTACTTTAGCGGTGGAAGATCTTTAGGTGAACGTTAAATAAAGGGAAATTAACAAAGCCCAACAGTTCAGCAGTTATAATTATCATCAAGCTTTCAGTCACTCCATACACTGCAAAATGTTTTAAGCTAAATAAGTAATTTTTTCTTAAAATAAGCACATGTTTTTCTGTAATTGAAGAGGTAAGTGAGACATTTTGCCAATGGAACAAGACTATTTACATTTAAAATAAGAAAAAACAATTGCATTGTGTTATTTCAAGTGCATGTTATCTAATTATCTTATTTTAAAATAAATATACTAATTTAATTGGCAAATCATCTTAATTACCAACCCAAATTAAGGGTTTAGTTTAAACTGCAAAAAAAGAATATTTTTCTTTAAATAACTGTATTTCCTATTGCTTTGAGCAGCTAAGTAAGAGCACTGGAAAAAATCAAAATCTAAATAAGTAATTTCTTTCTTAAAATAGGTGCATTTCTTCTTGGATTGAGGAGGTAAAAGAGACATTTTGCCAAAGGAACAAGACAATTTACATCTAAAATAAGAAAACACAATTGCATTGTCTTATTTCACGTGCATTTTATATAATTATCTTATTTTAAGAGTAAAAATACTCTTTCCATTGCAAAACTATCTCATTTACCTACTCAAATTACGGGTAAATACACTTAATTTAATACATGTTTTACTTATTCGTAGATCATTTTCCAGTGAGAATCTGCCAAAAGAATACATTTATTTGCATTTACAGTGAGAGAAAAAAAAAACAAACCTATTATCTTATTTCAAGGGCATAATATCTAATGATCTTATTCTGAGGACAAAGATACTCATTCCATTGGTAGATTATCCTACTTACACACTGGAAAAACGATCTAGAAATAAGTAAAAAGTTCTTAAATGAACTATATTTACCCTTAATTTGAGTAGGAAAATGAGATGATTTGCCAATGGAAAATTAGATATTCAGATAAAATGCACTTGAAGTAAGACAATGGAATTGTGTTTTCTTATTACAAGTGTAAATTGTCTTGTTCAATTGGCAAAATGTCTCTTTTACCTCCTCAATTCAAGAACAAATTCACAATTTTAAGAAAAAATTACTTATCTAGATTTCGATTTTTTCCAGTGCATGTTTAAATTATGGGGAAAATGTATTTTAAGATACATTTTATTTATTTTAGATCAGTGCATGTGGTGTATCTGTAACTGCTTAAAAATTACGCAGCAAAAAGTAAACAAAAATAAGTTCTGATTTCTAGAAATTGTTTTTTGTACTTAATTTGAGTAGATATGTAAAATGATCTACCTATAGTATAAGATAAGGTTTTAACATACTTTTGCTTGTTTTGAGTGAAAAATGTATAAATTTTCTTATGAAGGTGAAGCTTTTGTGAGAAGGACCTCTGTTATGAGAAATATTCTGATTACTTTTAATATACTTTTAATTTTGGTACATTAAAAGGTTACAAGAGCTGGATTTCACAGACATAACTGATTAAGTAGGTCTGTTTGTTCTAACACCTATAAGGCAACTAGCTCACCTATTTTTTTTTCTTTAATCCTGACATTTTAATATTTTCAGGGCCAAAGTTGATGGCATGGAAAGGTTGGGGAGAAAAGAAGGCCATCTTTGTTCTTTCCTCCTCCAAAGAGTAAACACAGATCAACTGTCTGAGTGTTGCTTCTGCCGACTCTCCCAGGTGTGCACGCCACATGTGCCAGATCTATCTCTCAAAGCCGCTCTCCTTAAGTTTGTTTGTCTTTTGTCACGGTAAATGAGTAGCAGTGGGTCAAAGGTTTCCTCAGTGTTGAAAAAGCCATAATGATGATGAAGTCCCATTATACAGCCTGTAACTTATTACGTTATTATTCAATCTAAATATCAATAAAAGGAATCCTTGACTTTTCCAGGCTAATTGAGGTCTAGTTTTATGATTCCATCTTTTTTGCACTTCTCACCATCATTATTCCTCATTCAAACTTTCAAATTAATCTTCTTGACATCAGGTCATCCGAGGGTCTCACAATGTGCCTGGGAATGTTTTCTGTCTAATTCCACCATCCACTCAGCTTTAGATGTGATTAGATTAAGGCTGAAAACAAACCTTCCTCCAAGATGGGCTTTGAGACGACGAAGGGAAGCTCCTGCAGAGGCTCCATATATTTGTGCCCAGCACTGAGGACGCTGATCTGGGGCAAACAGACAACCAGAGTCCCGGGCATAGAGGCCTGGTTGTGGTACCAGCTGCGGACAGTGCCGGGAATGTCGCCGCAGACGATGGTGCTCGGAGACGGGAGGCTGTCGTTTGGCAGGAATACGCAGCATGACTGTAAATCCAACTGGAATAGAGAGAATACAAAGAAAATTAAGTTACACTGCAAAAAACTGACATCAAAGCACATTTCTTTGAAATTTGTATATTTTTTATTGATTTGAGCAGGTTGCCAATAATTAATTTAAAAGTAGAAAAAAAAGTATTGTAGTTCATAATCTAAATATCTTATTTTAGTTAAACATCTTATTAATAATAAACAATCTAGAAATAAGTCAATGCTTCTTAAATTAAGTCTATTTATTCTTAATTTGACCATGTTAAGATGATTTGGCACTGGATTAAAATAAGTTAATTAGATAATATGCTCTTGAAATAAGACAATGCAATTGTTTTCTCTTATTTTAAGTTTAAATTGTGTTATTCCATTGGCAAAGTGTCACACATACCTCCTCAATTCAAGAACAAATGCACTTATTTTAAGAAAAAATGACTTTTCCAATGAATAAACTGTGCTTTCATGGCTCCTCATGTAAGGACTTCTATTAGATGAAGAAACACTTAATGACAAAAATCAGAATCCTCAAAAAGTAAATAGACTAATAAATGTTTAAGAATGTAGGAATACTTTAGTGATACATGTAATAGTATAATAGTAGATTTTGTGGTTTTTAATCTGCAGATTTATTTGTTTCTTTGCCACAGAGAGAATAAAGTAAAAATGGAAAAAAAAGTGAACGTTTAATGCCTCCAAGGAGACTAGATACTTTTATGAACTTTAATTAACTTTATCCCTAAAGACAGATTCCACTGTCGCCATATTTTTATTGGCCAACAAAAAGCTAATTCAAATAGATTTCAGGTCAGCAATCACAGTTCTGAGAATGTGAAGGCAGTTTTTAACCTTTTGAGAACCAGAGGAAGTTTTCCATTTTCCAGCGGCTCGACTGATTCAAAAGAATATTTCATATGAATGACGTGTATATGGAGCCCAGAGGGGTTTGCAGGCGCTGAAAGATTGCAGCGCTTTCATGTTCTGTATCCGACTGTAGTATAAAGAAAAACTCCAGTCTTCAATAACATGATGCGAGGTCTAAATATTTTATATGAGAACATATGTAACATGTGTTGAGCTTCTACAGACAGAAACAGGAAACTTTAGTCAAACATCCTCAGAAACTGTGAAGCTGAGTATGAACAAGTCACAGGTGATAAAGCTCCAATTATTAGAGCTGGAAAAATAGAGAGAACAGGATGAGGAGTCAGAGACGGCTGTGGAAGTCTCATGAAGGTCATTAGAATTAATAAAGTGCTGCTATATCTTATACGTTTGAAGCAGAATGTGGCTAGTTTCAGAGCTAAGCAAACATATGACACAGACGAATGGTAAATTACATAATACATCTTTCTATTGCAAGTCTTTTTTATTGTGAAAAATATTTCAAAATATTACACATTTATACACTTTTTTTTTCTTTAAGTAGGAGATAACAACACAAACGATAACCCACACACAACAAAAAATAACACCACCACCGCCACCCTTACACAAACACATAACCCACCCTAGGACTTCCTGATCCATTACACTGCTGAGGCAATAAGATATTATGGGTAAACAAAACACATCTTAACAAAATCAATTAATGTTTTGGAGAAGGGGATACCAAATCTACTCGAATGTTCCAGTCTGTTAGATAACACATACCGTATCCTTTCTAGGTGCAAAATTCGGATCATTACGTCTAGCCACATTTTAACAGTAGGGGTCTCACTTTTCTTTCGAAATATTAAGAGCAGTTTCTTAGCTGTAATTAACATGTATGATAGCAATTTTTGTTGGGGTACTGGGAGTGAATTAAACTTATCTGACAAGCCTAGCACCGCCAAAATTAGATCTGGCCTCCAGCGTATCTGATGTTAAATAAATATGAGGGCATTACCCCAATTTTAGCCTCATTACACTGGCTCCCTGTACATTTTAGGATTCATTTTAAAGTTCCTTTATTTGTTTTTAAGTCTCTCCATGGTTTTGCTTCATCTTATCTTTCTGAGTTGCTGCACCTTCATTTACTCTCCCGTTTACTCAGTTTAGCCGATCAGCTGCTTCTTGAGGTACCAAAAACTAAATGGAAGCTTAGGGGCGATCATGTTTTCTCTGCAGCAGCTCCAAAATTGTGAAACGACCATCTATTTCAAATTTAGTTGTCTACTTCTTTTTCTTATTTTTAAATAACTCTTAAAAAGTCATCTCTTTACCTTGGCTTTCTAAACTGTATGAGATGTTGATTTTAATCTGTGATATATTATTTAAGATTACCTTTTTTTAATTTAATTATAGAGTTTATAGTTCTGTTTTTAATTTATTCTTTTAAGCTCTATGTTTTTTTTTTAGTCTGTGTAATGGCATTACGTTGTTTCACTGTACAGCACTTTGGTCCTTTGAGAAATTTTGAAGTGCTTTATAAATAACGTTGAATTGGATTGATTTAAATATCTGGACCCAGAATGGTAAAATCTTAGGGCAAAGACAGTAACTGTGCAGTAGAGAGGCTTCATACATTTATTACGCAATGGGGAGACTTCTGGGAAATAATACATCTTTCTTACATGGCTTTGCTTAAATTGCATAAAATGATGGCTGAATAAACCTGTCACATTTTGTCACATATGCATCAAGCGTAACATTCTGCACTGCCTACTGCTCATTCAGCATCCACAGATCCTGTGAGACAACTATAAGATATTTGGTTTAAAATAGATGTTCATGCAAGAAAAACATTAAAAGAACTACTTTGATTGTAGAAATTGAGAGAAAAAGAGAGAGAAAAGGAAATTTCAGTGGTTTTAAATTACCATTTTGTAAATAAGTGGGATCTTAATAGCGATAATTGGCTCCTTTCAAATGTTTTAAAGGAGAAGTTCGGTTTTTTACACTTTAAGCCCATTTTCTGTAGTGTCCAGGATGAAATCGAATGATCGACACCAAAATTTTGACAATTGGTCCTGTCTCTGCTTTTTGGCTCATTTAGAATCAACCCCTGGCTGCTTCAGAATGGCTAGCATAGAGCATGTCCGATAATGTCCTTAAAACAACCTTAAACGTTCTTTTTTTTAAATATGCTACTCACCGGGTCGTCAGCGCTGTTCAATGACGTTCCAAAAAAAGTTTCGTGAAGAAAAAACGTTCCTGTAGTGTTTTATTTAGCATTTTGTAAATCCCATTGAGTTCTGTAGGAATAGTCAATATTCCGCTGCCACCGGAAACGGAAATGGGGCCTGTTTACACAGTTGTAGTCTTTTCGCTTCACTCTGTGTACTCCGACGTCGAGGTGCTAACGTCTCTGTTAAACACTTTAAAAAACTCTGAAAATGGAATACGAAAGGTGGATTCTTGATTCTCGACGTCGGAGTACACAGAGTGAAGCGAAAAGACTACAACTGTGTAAACAGGCCCCATTTCCGTTTCCGGTGGCAGCGGAATATTGACTATTCCTACAGAACTCAATGGGATTTACAAAATGCTAAATAAAACACTACAGGAACGTTTTTTCTTCACGAAACTTTTTTTGGAGCGTCATTGAACAGCTCTGACGACCCGGTGAGTAGCATATTTAAAAAAAAGAACGTTTAAGGTTGTTTTAAGGACATTATCGGACATGCTCTATGGAAGCCATTCTGAAGCAGCCAGGGGTGGATTCTAAATGAGCCAAAAAGCAGAGACAGGACCAATTGTCAAACTTTTGGTGTCGATCATTCGATTTCATCCTGGACACTACAGAAAATGGGCTTAAAGTGTAAAAAACCGAACTTCTCCTTTAATAGCTCTGCAACAGGCAACAGTCCATGTTTGTTTAAAAGGATGTTTAACCACTGCTCAGGGATTTTGAAAGCTTTTAAATAAATTTTTACCCAAATGATCTCATACTCTCATAGGTCGTGTCTAAGGGGTGAACTTCCTTGCTACCCTTGTATTGTTGGTTGACAGGGTTAGACTGCTACCAGCCATCGTCTGTATCATCGCACATCACTCCCAAAATTCTGCTGGCTTTATTCACTAAATGGGATTTAATTAGAGTTTAAAAAGGTCAAATGATTTGTGTTTTTGATGTATTTCAATGCGTCATTTGTCACTGAGAAAATCGGTTTGCTAGCAATAAATGTAAACTTCAAAATATAACTTCTTTTTTTTTTCTAGAAACCAGTTAAACTTTGTAAACTAGTAACTTGCTCAACTGTACAACTGCTGAAGTTCCTGAAGGACTAAATTAACCAAAAACAAAATGGAGTAACAGTGTGGGCTATGCTTTAGAAGAAATGGTGAAGCACTGGGTTCCTTAATGCTGCCCCCTGCTGGATTGGAGGTGTAGTACACTGCTTTCCCTGATGTCCCAACATATCATTCAGCTAATTAAAAAAAAAAACATTTCAGCAACTGTTCAGAGCAGTGGAAACATAAAGAACACAAACCAATTGGGACTCTGAACAAAAAAAAATCTGGGAAAAAAAAAAATAAAAGAGATTAGTCTGTGTAATAATTTCTGCCTACAAGTACTGACATGACACCACATCTACATTTAAGTGTCAGTGCAATTTCTAAACACAGCAGCAGTTAGTAACAAACAGCTTAGTTTGAAATCTAATATCTAAGGTACTAAAACGGTCAAATGTGCAGCCAGTAATTGTGTTAACAAGTCAGTTAAAAAAAGACAATTTCTTACCAATTCAAGGACAATGGAAATATATTGTCTGCTGCTATATGCCTTTGACAATAGAGCCATTTTAACTAGAGTAAAAGGAAAAATTAATAATGAAATAAAAAAGAAAGATTGAGCAGAAAAAAAGACTGAAAGACATAATCGTAGTAAGGAAAATATATGACATAACTTTAACCTCTGATGTGTTCGGGGTTAGCGGGGAATAAAAACAGCGGCAAAAAAATGACAGAGTTGGACACGACTCAGGCACGACAAATAATAAATACTGAACAGAGGAGTGCAGCTGTTTGGAAGTTAAAGTGTAATTTACATTACAAAAAAAAGGAAGGTGTTTTCAACATATCATTTT